GCGTCATGCCACTCCAGAGATGGGGGCTTGCAGAGCCAGCCGGCAGCCGACTCGGGCCGCGGATGCAGAGGGGAGCAATGCTGTGGTGCCGGAGGACAGAGCCCCGTGGGCCGCGTGGTCTGCTTCGCTCCTGCCGCCGTCAGGTGCAGGGAAGGATGCTGTCCTGTCCCCACTGTTGGGGGAGGAGTTGACCGCCTGTCCTCTCCCCTGTGTGCCGGGGGGTGGGATGGGGAGTTGCGTCCTTCACGGCAGGCAGGAAAGCATCTTGCGCGGTCCTGGTAATTATACAGGCTCGGGTGTTTCCGCTTCGACACTAATGGAGACGTGGCTTTGCCCTAGTGGACCCTCCTCCTCTGTTCCTTTTGCACATCACACCCCGGATTAGAGAAGGATGATTCTCTTCGGATGGGTAGCTTACTCACTGTATAATATCCACTGTGTAGAATCTCTACCTTGTACGGGTTCTCCAAGGGCATAAGTGTGCCATGAAATACCGTGAAATAAGCTATATTACAAAGGAAAAAGAGACTGAATCTCCCTTGGGGCAGAAACAATGGGCAGGAAACAACAGATGCACGTGCCCTTCGATGGCTTTTGTCCCTTGCAGTATGAAGTTTGGTAAACAGTATTGAAGCAGCCTTTCTGAAAGGGAGGTGGAGAGATTTTACCTGCAGCTGGAATGGGGCAATTATTGAATCTTAAAGTTAAAAATCAATGTTCTTCTCAACGGCTTGCACGGCCTTTGCACCCAGGACGATTGAGGGCACAATGCCGTGTGGGTTTAGGTGGAAAAAGGGCCCCCAACTCCTAGCATGCCACAGACAACATAGCTGTAGCCTTGCTGGGGCCTCCTAGCACAGGAAGCCCTTCCTTCTGTCTGAACTTGCACAGCATTACACCTGAACATGGTCGCTCAGCTCTTCGTTTTGTGACAATTTGTGCTCCCTTCCTCTGGGCGTGGATAAATGTCAAAAGCATCCAGTCTAAGAGAAGAGGTTGAGAACACAGTTACTTAACAAACAGGCAGGGTTCTGCACACACTGTGCTCCGTGCCCTGTGCAGGCTGCAGTCTCATAGGTTGCTGGACTGCCTGAAAACAGCTTTGACATACAGTTCTAGACTTCCTGGCTGCATTAAAACAAAAGCAAAGAAATCCATATGCTTCAATGTACACCGATTGGCTTTTGATGGTCAGGAACAGAGAGAAAGAGAGAATATGAGAAGGCTGATCATTACACCTGGGATTTATAGAGTCAACATGTTGGTAACTGTCACAAGTGGGGCACTAACGGAGGGATGTGGAACTTCAGGCCAGAGGGCTAAATCCAACCTGCCTAGAGTTCCTCGCCAGCCCCTGGGGCTTAAGGCTGCCCGCCTTTCCCCTAGCCGTGCCCCGTTTTGCCCAGACCCCATTCCTTTGGGGTTTCCCAGCTAGTGTGCTGTTTTCCCACATTCTGAAAGGTGGGCAGGTGCACCTAAGGCTTCAGTGCTGGCAAGGGGAGCTGTGAGAGACAGTGACTGGCATTTCTGGCCCCACTCACTTGCTTTTGGCCGCACCCAGCCCTGCTCTGCAGCTCCCCAGAGCTTTTCTGAAATGGACGTCAGTCCTCAGGCTGGAAGAGCCTTGGCGCCCCCATGCTAGCATGTTCCAGGGATAATTTAAATTTCTGATTAAAATTAAATCACAGGTAGGAGTTCATTTCTAGAGAAAGTGGAAGGCAGAAGAAGAAAAGGAAGACCGGCTATGAAACGGCTTGGCTCCATCAAGGAAGCCATGGCCTTGAACTCAGAGTTGAGCAAGGCTGTCCTGGATAGGACATTCTGGGGGGCTTTCATTCATGGAGGCGCCAGTCAGAGAAGCCTCGATGGTGCGGAACAACCACAAGGAGGAGGAGTTCATGTAGCAGAGTGAATGGGCTGTGAATCAGGTGGCCCTTCATTTAATACTTGCTACAAGACCCATCACAAACTCACTAGGTGGCCTTAGCAGTAATAACCCTGCCCTCAGCCTAACACACACACACACACACACACCCCTTCTGGGGCTGAGATATGGGAATAATACCCCCTTACAACTGGGTCTTTTCGGCCTGGAGAAGAGGAGACTCCGAAGGGATCTGTTGGTGACATGTAGGTATGTGAGGGGGTGTCACACGGAGGTGGGTAGAGAACTGCTCTCCCCTGCAGAGGAAGGCAGGACGTGCTCCAATGGAGCAAAGCTCAGGGAGCCAAGGTTCCATTTAGATGCCAGTAAGTACTTCCTGGCAGTCAGGACCCCGAGGGTGTGGAATGGCTTCCACGGGAGCTCGTTGAGGCCACATTGGTGAGGGTGTTCAAGGATAGGCTGGACATGCACATGGTAGGCATGCCATGACTGGAGCCGGGGGTCAGACTAGATAGCCTGGGAGGCTCCTTCTGACTTGCTTTGTTTCTATGTTACAAAGTTATGGTAAGGCCTATTGAAAGACTGTATTCACAGCCCCTGGGCGCTCGGACTCTCATCACCCTTACCACCAGCACAGTTTTTCGCACAGCAGCTGGAGCCTGAATTCACAAAAGTAACTCTGGAGATGCCACGGGGGTGTTTTTTCGAGAGGAGAGGAAGACTGGGGCTCCTCCAGAATACAAGGAGTCCCAGTGGTGTCTCAACACCTCTGCCTTCTAAGCAAGGACAAAAGGCATAGATGGCTGAAATCGGCCATGTCTGTCTTCTGCAGACAGGAGAAGTGTGGAGGAAGTACTTTGCTGTTTGTCAGGATGCCCAAGTTTGGAGAATTTTGGACAGTCACTTTTGGATGGCTCCCTCGGCCAGTCCAGGGCCTTGTGTAATAATGCCACCAGCAGGGACTCGTGCATGTTTTGGCAACCCTGGATTTCTGTAGCCAAGCACAGTGATGGAGGGAAACAGGCAAACAAAGGTCGCCAGGCCACAAAAGCCCCGCTGTGTCTCCCGTTTAGGCTGCCGATGGCCGAAGCAGGCTGAGCTGCTCTTCTGTCTGCCTTGGTCCTGGATGGGCTGCCCACAGGGTGATACTTGCCTCCTTTAAGCGTGCGTCAGGGGTGCAAATGGAGCAGGGGTGCAGGGGTGCAAACGTCAGGTTTTTAGTAAAGACACATCAGCGTGTTGCGTGTGACTCAGCCTGCCTTTCCAAGTTACTTGCCACCCTGACTTACACGGGGAAATCCTTCTGTGGGATGCAGCGAGGCCCTGAACGTCTTCCAGCTGATTTCCTGGAACACTCAGCACTGTGGGAATGGCGCAGAAAGGGAACTGCTGTCTGCCTGGCTATCATCCCCACATGCGTGTGGCCCAAGCCAGAGCTTCACCCCAGGGAAGTCTTGACTCCCTGCTGTTGCGCCTGTCATTGTCGGCACTGGTCTTCCTTATTGGCATTCAGCCTGCGTGGCCTCAGGTGCCTCGGGCAGTTGGCCAACGGCAGGGAGGGCTTGTCTGGTTGTTGACAGACCTTTGTCTTGCATGCTGCCCTTTCTGCTACCCGGTGAGCAGAGCCATCCTTGTCAAGAGGTGCCCAAATGGATGGCAAGAAAACACAAAGGGAGAGACTACATTTGTGTGATCGCTCTGCCAGAACGTTTCAACCAGGCCTCTCTTTCTTTCGCATTGGGGAACAAAGAGCTCCAGGATGTGAGGAACAATCACTCATCTCTTTTAATTAATCTCCTCTCATTTAGCTATGCATGTGCCTTTTATAGGAGCGTGACAGAGTGGAACACACACTTCCCTGAAACGTCTCTTTTAATTTATGGCTTCTTTTTTGGAGGCTACAGTTCCTCTGTTGACTGAACTTGAATTGGCTATGAACTAATATGGCTCGTACCGTTCAGTCCTCAGAAGTGAGGCCCACTGCCTTAAATGAGGCTTACTCCCAGGTAATTGTGCATTGGATGACTGCCTCAGATAGGAAAGCCTTGGGCCTTTCCCAACTCACCCCCACCTCCCAAAAATAGACAAGATCGCAGTGATCTTCTAAATGGTTTATTGCTAAGCATATCTTGCACCATTTAGAAGATCTACCAGAGTTCTGAGAAAACATCTTGCTCATGGGTGGAGTATTTCCAAAGGTCCCATTCTAAGCGTTTAGCATAGACCTCCTAGGAACCTAGTGCACTGCCAAATTGGACCATTGCTCCATCAAGCTCAGTACTGGCTACACCAAAGACAGGCAACCATTTTCAGCCCTTGGACACACTGGGCAATTTAAGTATCTATCCCAGGCACCATACGGAGCGAGAGCCCTCTGCTGGCAGCAGACCTGGGAGAGACCTCTGCCCACTGGAAGAGGTAGGTGGAGAGGGCTCTGTTCACAGTATAATACTCATTGGCCTGCACGTATTTCTTTGAGTGATTGCCATTTATGTGTTTTGCAGATGTATGGAAACAATATGGTGCATAAGATTTCTGTGTTCCCCAGCTGGAGACATGTTACTTATTAATTATTTTTATTTATGAGCTAGGTGTGTCCCTGTGGCTGCCTAAGTTGCATCCCAATTCGCAGTCATGAGCTTTCACTTTGGTTGTGTTCAATGAAGATACCAGGCAGTACTCAATGGGGACTGTTAATGAAGCAGCCATTTCCACTGACTCTGTGGCATGAGTGGAGCAACCCACAGGCATGAGAGAGATCAAAGGCTGAAACATGCTTCTTCCTCAGTCTGAATGAGTCAGTACAGCCCCCCATGCAAGGTCAGCAGACCTGCCCCGTTCCAGAAACAAGGATTTACACTCCTTCCCAATTTCTCTTGGAAGCAATAAATCCCTGTTGTGCTGGCCGTAGATTCACCAGCAGAATCAAATCAGCAGGGCTGCAACACCGCATCGAAGGCTGCCTAGTTAGGGGAGATTGGAGTAGGGCGATCTACCATTCCTCATGTCACTCCTCCGCCTGTCCAATATTGCCACCTGCCAGACATGGTCCTGATGCAAGACCCTCGTGCTTCCAAGCTTTCCAGAGGCTAACCTTTCCCCTCTTTCCCCCTAGGGACAAACGTTCATGAAGCCCAGCGCATTCTGAACGAAAGCGGACTCCCCATCACCTCTGCAAGTGACCTTGAAGATGCTGCCAAGAAAGCCGTGGCAAGCGTGGCCAAGAAATAATGATGCCTCCAGTGAAGAAATTAATGCAGTAACTCCACATTCCCAGAATTGCCTCAGAATACATATTTTGGAATTATTTCAACTAGCCGTGAATAAGCCTAGACTTGATCTGCCTGACAGCAACATACAGTGTATGAAGAAAAAATGCCAGCATCGAGGAACTACATCAAATCAAGAGGCTCTATACTTTTCTTTCTTATAGCGGAAGGCCTGCCAGCAGGTGCTGTGAGCAGCCAATGTCTGTTGCCAGTCAGATTTTTTTCTCATGCAACGTGTCAGTTAGGGACTCCTAATTTTTGTACAGCATTTTGATACATCTTTACCGTCCTAACAGGATAGCAACTAATAGATCCACCCATTCCTGATAATCACGGCAAAGGTTTTAGGGACTGCACAGTTGATTCTGTGCACCTGTGGGCAGTGGGCACCTGTGCTTTTCGAAGTGGCAGCCTTCCCCTCTCACATGGCAAACCACTCCGAAACTGGTAGATCCCCTAAAAGAAATTTGCCATGTGATTTGGGATCTGCCACCTGAATTTTCAAAAGGCCAAAATTCCAACTAGGTACTCTCCAGAGGCTTCAGTGTTCTGGATCCTAGCTTTTTTAAATAACATTTCCGATTAGAACTAAAGAATAGGATATAAAGAAAATAGCATGTTTATATTTTGTTATTTAAACCAAATTAATGGGAATTGGATTCCCACCCCTATTATAAAGTATGTACTCGTTTCACACATGCCTTAACATTCAGTATTTGTGCTTTGATACCTGAAGTATACCTCACATTAGAAGAAAACTGAGCAATGTAGTTTTGTGAGGCAAGAGGGTTTTGTATCATACCATGAATGAATGGATTCCTCGTGTGAATATTCTGAAGCGTGAACAGAGAAGTAACGCACACCCCAAAGTCCTAGTGCCATGTACTGTCTATCTACACGTGTGTCAATTTCATACCAGCTGTGAGCTTCCAGAATCAACATGCATAGTAATTGTTGAACTGCCATTCATACCAGAGGAATTTTTGGGCGGTGACTTTTTAAAGTTTAAGCATTTATGCTGCTAGGCAGGCCATGCTAGCATGAGCTGTCAAGGGAACCTTCCATCACTGAAAATAATGTGAAAAAGATAAAACATAATGCTGTAATGAAAAATAACGCAGCATGATTTAGCTTAAGATAAGCACTTTCTAAGTTCTTGTCTGGAAGTGCTGATCACATGCATCATACTCATTTTGAAATAAATCAGGCTTAAGAGTTGCTTAGTTTTGCCTCGATCATGCCTTTGACTTGTATAAAAGTGTGTACAAATGGTGCAGAAGCTGTCGCGCCATCTCTGTAACCACCTCAATGTGCTTGGGTCACCATGAAAGGAATTATGAAACTCAAACCTCCACCACTGAATTCACTTTGTGTGATATCCTGTGTATTTATATGGATTTATCCAGTTAGGAAATTGAGATATACACACCATTGCTCAACTGACAAGCTGGGCAAGCCGGGAATTCATGTTCTGAAAGTTTTCAACAATATTAAATGCAAGTATTAAAACGTTTGTATTTTAATAAGAAGTGAATTTTATCTAATAAATTTCTCAGAGTCCCACAGTGCATACCAATTAATTGGTGGGGGGGGGTTCCTGACATTTTTACGCAATGTAAACGTTTTCTTGTTTTTCAGCATTCCAAGGCATAAAGCTCTTTCTATCAACTGCAAAACACAGGTGTTCTGCAGTGGACCATAATCTCCCTACTGTTACATGAACCCTACAAAGTCATAGGATTAATGGTGCCTGAAAAGCCATTTTATCGGCAACAGCCTAATGTTAGGTCTGTACATCTGCAGCCCATTCCCTTCATGAAAGCACTTCTTCACACCGTGTGTCGTCAAACATGGACTTCACTGCTACAAGATGTAGAGATGGTCATCAATTTGGATGGCTTGAGAGCAGATTGGAGAAAGTCCTGGATGAGAAGGCTTGTTACGGCTACTTGTCCTGATGGCTACATGCTGCCTCCAGTACCAGAGGCGTATAAATAAATGCCAGCTGCTGGGAGCGTGGGAAGGAGGGCATGGGGGCGTGAAGGCTTCCGTGGGCAGCTGCTTGGCCACTGTGTGACCCAGACTGTTAGACTCGATGGACCTTTGCTCTGATCCAGCAGAGCTCATCTTATGTTCTTCTGTTATGTCAAAATCCACATCAAAACAGCACTTAGCACTAAGTAAGCACTTAGTAAGTTGTGACCCAAAAACCTACCTTGATTAACACATATTCAACCCCTATCTGATCAGTGTCAGAACACAATCCTGTAGACCAGATGCCGTTCACGGGCCCTTCTTTTCACTTGGCCTGCTGGCTCTTCCACCAACTGCAACGCTCAGTGGATTGGCAGGAAGTGGCTGAGTGGCAGGACTCCACAGCCTCCCCTGCCCCACACCTCCCTTGTTGCCTATTGAGCACTGCTACTGGGGTGAGGAGAGGGCGGAGAAGGAGAGGAGGGGTTTGAACCTCCTCTTCCCCATGATGCCTGGCCCTGCACTACTCAGCTATTATCAGACAACTGTCGAGCTGTGCCAGGGATGATGAGTCTGTGGTGGGGTGGGAGGGGTGAATGGGGTATGTATGTAGGCCTACTGCCCTCCTCACCAGTATAAATCCTCGACCACTTTTCTTCAGGACAGACATGCTCCTCAGGAGGGAAGACTGTTCTGCCATGACTGAGTGTGGCCACCATACACAAGTGGAAACAAGGTGGCCATTGTCCAACAAGACTTAATTGAGGCTCCTTGTTATCCAAGGCTGTGATTTCTTTGGCAGGATTAGACCAAATGCTGTTTTGGGCAGGAAGTTCCTGGTTCATTCCCTGGCACCTTCCACCTCCCTGGCGGAAATCCTCAAGAGCTGATGCCGGTGTGGATAGTGAAAAGCTAACTAAGCCAGTGCTTTGACCCAGAAATCTTGTTGCTCCCAAAAGGACTCTCTCGGCTGTGTGGTTGTAATCACAGCCACAGTTACAGAGGAGCTCGTGTGAGATTGCAAAGGCATAACCTCTTTAGCTTAATAGGAAAACTTACCTACTCCTGAACCAGGTTCCTACTGCATCAGGCAACCTCTGCATAGTTGAACTGTTTGCCTGTCATTAAATGCTTTTCTAATTCCGCAGGACTTTAGCCAACCTATTTCACTCAAATTTTGCAGGCACAAGAGAGTGTAGCTAATATTGCACACATGTGCCCCCGCAGGACAGATGTTCAGCAGCTGATTTAGAGAGTCGATGGATAATCCGATACTAAATTCCTATTGAAATCAAGACTAATTTGTTCTGAAAACTAATGGGGCCAGTCAGTGACAGAAGTAGGTTATTCTGTGAATGAGCTGCTGTTTAGGGAGATGACATGATGGGATTTTGAGCCAGGATTCTTCGCATTTCCTAAACTGAATCTTCCGAGCACACGCAGAGCACAAATGGGTCATCCTGGGGAAGGCTGACAGTGACAAAGAATCTGTAAACACTTCTGGGACAGGAAGGCACAGAGGGCTTTCTGCATAAGACAGACTGCCTTGCCCAAATGCCACAAGTGGAGAAATAAGAGTGGCGATCTTTCTATTAGAGCGGGCCCAAGGAATTGCTGAGCTGTGGGGCCAGGCAGCCAAACAAATCAATCTGGCAGAACTGAGACTCGCGCTCGATGTTTCCCTCAGCAACCCCCTGCCCACACACACACACACACACACACACACACACACACACACACACACACACCTACCTTCAAGCCAAATTCTTCCACTCCAGGATGTAGCAAAAGCTTTTCATCTGCCCTTGGCCTGCCTTATCTCTGCATTCCTATCTAGGGTTGTAGATAGGAGAAATCAGATGATCTGCAAAAGTTATAAAAATGTGGGATTTCATCACAGATAAAGGGAGCTGGAGCACAGTGTCGCACACTAGAACCCTGCTGCTCAAGGCTCCAGCCTGCCAGGCAGGCACTCTTCCAAGTTATTCCGCTCTCCTCCGCTTTTCTGTTTGTTCCCCTCCGGTGGTGCAGCGATAAATTTTGAGGCGCAGGCATTCATCGTGACAGTCCCCATGGCGACACCCCCATGGTGAGTCAAAACGAATCCAGGCGCTCCGTTGATCTGTATCGACAGACAAGTCCTAGTAGTTTTATCTCCATCATCAACAGATTTTCTGTAGACTAGATGGATGTCAAAGGCCCTTTCATGACCAAGCTACTCCCCACCCCAGAGCTTTACATTACAAGAATCCGGGCCTTCTCAGGAAGAGGGAAGAAGGCATCAGTATCCCTGCGAATAAAAGCGCCAGTGCTGCATCCCTCCAAGTTCTGGCTCCACAACACCACTGTTCCCGGAAGTAACCAGTCAGCCTTTCGAGGTCCTCAGGATATATGTAGCCCTCACGGTGGAGGGGGGAAGTTGGATATTTTTCACAAAATACCCTTGGGCATTTTTCACAGAGATTTCCGTGCTTCTACAAGTCTTGGAAGTTGCCCCAACCTTGTTGACACTTCTCTCCTGTGCATGGGCAGTGCCCTTTCATTATGGAAGGGTCACTACTCTGTGACGACCCTGGTCAGGACTTGGGGCACTGCTCAGGCACCAGTCTGAGATGCGCTTGGGACCAGGAACCAAGGTGTGATGCCAGTAGCTGGACCGAAAAAGAAACCAGAAGGCAGAATCAAGGAGCAAATCAAAACTCTAGGTCTAAGGGCGCAGGCCCACATCAGAGCTCAGGAAGCCTTTGTTGTTCAAGGGAGGCATAACAGGAACTGGAAAACTCATTATCATTTTTCCAGCTCAGAAGGATTCAGTCACCTGTTTCAGTAGGGAGCATAACTCCAGACCCTGAGGATGCTAAAACTCCTGGGCCCTGGACAGGTGCAGCAAAGTGCGATTCAGTGAGTCGCCAGGCAGGGCAGCCATGCAGATTTGAAGATCCTCGGTTCATGCCTGGCAGCTCCTGACATTCACACCCACGCATCACTAGATGCCACCTCCACCTCTTTTAAGATCCCCTGTGCCTTCAACTCCACTCTTTCCCTCTTGGAGCAGCTCCCCTGGCATCACAATGCTTTCTTTTCTTTCAAATCCCAGGAGAGAAGGGTCATAGCTTAGTAGTAGAACATTTTCTTTGCATGCAGAAAGTACCAGGTTCAATCCCTGATATTTCCAGATAGGGCTGGAACCTCTTGTCTGAAACTCTGCAGAGTCGCTGTCAGTCGGTGTCAGCAATACTGAGTTAGATGGACCGACTTGGTATAAGCTCCTGTGCTTCTCCTGAAAAGGTACCCTTTCTGTAAAGCCTTCTCACAACTGCCTCCTGTACTGAAGCAAACCTAAATGTGTGTGAGGCACCTGAATGCATATTATCCCATTCCACCTCCCCTCCATACAGCTCTCTCTGTCTCCTCCTGTTCAGATTTTAGATTGTAAGTTCTTTTTTAGGGCGTGAATGGTAGCAAATTGTTCTGAGGGCTTCAGCTGTTGGGCCACACAGAAATAAGCGAATAACAAGAACAGAGACTCGTGGAGCGGAGCAGTCTGAGGAGAAGAGCTTCCTCTTCCTGTGGAGGCTTTCCGTGCTGGCCAGGCCTCAGATTTTCCGAAATGCAAGCTCTGTGGGGAGGCGCCATTGATCCAGGAAGTGCTCCCTCTCTCTCTCAGGCCGTTGCCGCATGCTCAGAGAGCGAGGGCCCGGAGGAGTGGCAGGGCTGCACCGGAATCTCATTACGCACTCGCCCTGCTCAGGTACAGCATGCCTGGATGCCGCGCTAGTATCCTGCTATAATCAGTGTTCGCTTTGATCCAGGAGGAGGATGTCCCCCCACTAATATAACCCCATCTCTCCACTGAACATCTAAAATGAGTTGAGGTGTTCAGTTGAAGCTGCTGAACTATCAACGGGGTTAGCTGTAGCTCTGATTAATGTTTCAGAAGGAACTCCCCCGACCTGTATCTCAGCTGTTCTCAGTTCTTGAGGACTAGGCTGGATGTTTGTCTTTTATTTTCAGCTGGATTATGGGTTGTTAAGGTTATTTTCAGTAGGTAGGATGTGAGTAGAGAGAAAAGGACAGGAAAAGACTCACTGCGGACTGTTAACCTACATCCTAATTTGGGAAGAGTACCTGTGAATTCCCTCCTATCTTCCTAACATGTGCCTGCAAACAGCAGGTAGCCTGAATGTATTGTAAATTCTGTTTACTATGGATTTCTAGGTAACAGCTACTCTCTAGTCCTGCATGCTCCCTTGGGGTGGGAGATGATGAGTCTTGATTTGATGGAATGTTTATGCCTGTTGAATCCAACCTAGAGCTTTATATGAACAGAGGGGGTAAGTATTTCAGCCTGTCAAATGTCAATAGCCAGAATAAAATGCTTTACACTGTAGTTATAGCATCCAACAATTAAAGCATTTGATGAAAGTATTTTTATTGGAATATACATCACCATTTGTTCCAATTATTCTGCCATTAAACATTAAGAATAATTGAAGCAAATGGTGCCCAAAAGAAAGGCTGCATCTGTTCCAATAAATTCTAGCCAAATAGCATTGAACATTTTTTTTCAAGCAATATATTTCAATATTAG